AGGCTCATCGTGCTGTTTTACCCGGATGACTCCGAGCTCGGGAGAAACCTTGTGGGCTCTGCAGGGTCACTGGTGGAGGAGGCCATACTGACCTCGACCATCGAGGACACCTTCTCTGGCAAGGCTGCTAGCACTTTGCTCAAGCGGGCCTCGGACTTCTCAAGGTTTGCCAAATCGATCGTGGCCGGCAAAGGGCGCCCTCTGGCGCCTTCCGAGGGTGAGCTGTACGCATATATGCTGCACCTGCGCCGAACCAAAGCCGGAGCCACAGCGGGAGAGTCCTTTCTAAAGTCCTATCGGTTCTTCATGCATCTGACCGGGGCTGTTCAGAATGCTCGGATCTCGCCCCGAGTGCAGGGGGCGGCAAAGGCGATGGCCATGGTCAAGAGGCCGCTCTGGCAGGCACCGCCCCTACCCGAGGAGGCGGTACGACTTCTTGAGGAGTTCGTCCACGAGACCGAGGACTGTGCAAGGGCCAGCATAGCGGGGTTCATGCTCTTTTGCATCTACTCCTCTGCGCGCTGGTCGGATGCGGCCCGTGGGACGTCCATGGTCATGAATGTGGCGGGCAACGGTTTGGTTCTGCTGGAGTGCTCCACAAAGCATTATAAGACCAAGGCCAAGGACCGGAAGGACACTGTGCTCCCCCTCATCGCTCTGGGCAGCGGCCTCACCCAGCCTTCTTGGGGGCGAGTCTGGATGCGCAAGCGGGCCCTCGCGGGGCTGCAGAATTCCTCAGTGATCATGCCGGCTATGTCGCCGGGGGGCAACTTCCTCGAGAGAGCCATGACTGCTGCCGAGGGCTCTCTATGGCTTCGCGAACTCCTGCACCTGCAGGGCTTCACCGGTGACTTGGAGCGGTTCAGCTCCCACAGCTTGAAAGCAACCGCTTTGTCCTGGACGGCCAAGAGCGGTACCATGACTTACGAGGAACGCCTTACTCAGGGACATCACTGCAGCCCTAAGCACGGGATGGCCCTCCTCTACTCGCGGGATGCTCTCGCGGAGATCATCGTGAAGGTGGCCAAGGTCGTGAGTGCTGTGAGCCGGGGAGTGTTTAGTCCAGACCTTCCGAGGGCCGAGAGGGTCGCTAGGGCTCTGCATGCAGATCCCGCGGACTTTGAGCATCTTCCCGAGACTACGGCCGAGGATTTACCAGCTGGGGAGCCTCAGGAGGAGAATATCTCTGAGGCCGGTTCTGACATAACCGACCTCGGCGATCTCAACGATGACCTAGGGGCTCCGGTTCCTGAGGAGGTCCGCCCTAGGCTGAGCTGCGCTTTTTCGGGGACGACGTACATGCACGTCTTGAGTGGAGTTGTGCATAAGATGGTCAGCCCTGGAGTTTTTAAGTGCGGTAGGAAAGTCACAGCCAATTTGCGCTTGATGGGTCCGGAGGAGGCCCAGGACAATGTCTGCCAGCAGTGTGCGGCTTGAGGGGGAAAACATAACAGACCGGGTCGTTTGCTGCAATCCAGCGGAGCGAGTGCATGAGCCTCTGACTCTCATGGCATGGTACCCGGTCTAGCTGAGATGGGAATAGACGAGCCGACTGAGATTTGTCAGAGTGCGTCTTGATAAGAGCTTAGAGCGAGTTGAGGTGCGCTCGCAGTCCTTTGGCTGAGCTTGCTGAAGCGGGGGAATTCAACCCGTGCCGCCTGCTGAGTCCCAGGCCGGCAAAACTGAGGGAAGCGGCTTTGAGTGCCAGGGATTTCCCCCCTCGCTGTGCCCCGTTGACTGTGCGGGGCTGCAGCATGAGACCGTGCTCTGATCAGACGGTGCCGGCTGGGATCGCCGGCGTTTTTGATAGTTCGCCTGGGCTCGGCGATATAAGATTGCGAAAGTGAAGGATACAACAACGCCCACGGTTGAGTTCGCCGTGGGCAACCTGTGAAATCGGATTTTGCTGTTGCCCAGGACCCATGGCTGGGCTTGAGTCGGCGCCCGCCTTCATCGATCGGGCAAAGCAGATCGGCATCAGCGAGGACCTCCTGGGCAAGCTCACATCCAAGAACTTGGACACCTACGGCAAGCTCGCTTTCGTGTGTTCGAGCAAGCCTTCCAGCGGAGATGACGCTCCCCTCTTCGATGCGCTGAAGACCTTGCTCGGAGCTGAGGT